TTATACGTGTATGGCAATTGTAGCGATTTACTTTATTAGGTGTATACTGCAAGTTAATCGCTATATGAACAAGTTTTTTCTCAAGAAAACAATGTTTTGTTATCTTTTCTCTCTTCTAATTAATAGCACAGTAAAATTAAGAAATACTAATTTTTATTAGTAATTATTTTAAGCACAACAAACACAGGAGACAGACACTTTCGTAAAAACCATATGCAAAGTTGAGAAACCTTAATTATTAGACTTCAATTTGATAGTTATCTTAAATAAGTTTGTCCTTATTTTTTGAAATTATTTGCCTCCTACACTGAAGCTAAGGGAAGGCTCCAATTTTGATATTATAAACTTCTTCGGATTATTCGTTACTAATTAATATCTTTCGAATTTTGCAATATTTTGTTACCAAATTTTTTCGACATTATAACAGCTTCATCGAACTTGTATAAATACAGGAATATAACAGAGTAATCATCTGTTTTCCCAATTAAAAATTTTATGTTATTTAATTGTTACGAAATCGATGTATTTTTTTCAAATAATTGCTTTGAAATTCCTCCTTAACATATGCAATAAAATATTTTTAGTGGATTATTATGTAAACAGCGTATTAAATATTAATTTTTGTGCAATTATTCTGTTATATTCTTATTTTTATGAAATTATATTATACTCAACTATTTAATAAAAAAAAAAAAATTATCGAAATTTATATAAAGTGAAATATCACAAAGTTTTACTCTAAAAATTATCTAGATTGTTTTTTACGGTTAAATTATTAAATTTTACGATTTCCCATTTCAAAATTCACTTAATTACAAAAATTTACGGGAAATTATAAATTAATATTTTTTAAATACAATAAAAATTTTAAATTTGCTGAATATGCAATTGTAAATTTATTTTATTTTAATTTCGGCTGGTATCTATTATTACCCTATTATTATCAAATACTCCGTGAAATGAAAAAAAAAAAAACGAAAAAATTGTAAAATAAGACAAAAAAAATAAATTTTATAATTACCAGAACCAAATTCATATTGCATACCTATAGGCGTTATCAACTTAAAATCTCAATTTAATAAAGTCCATTAAAAAATATCAGTGTATAGCTATCCTATACCTTTAAATATAAGTAATTATTGCAAAAAATAGAAGAAAAACTAGAAAACATTAAAGGAAATGAGTTTTATAATTTTTTTTTGTATTCAGACTGCAAATTTTCATACATTATTTTTTTCTAGCCTAACTTCCTAACTAGATATCCTAGATAATCTAAAAAGGATAACAAAACACAGTATGAAAATCAAAACAAATTTTGAAGCAAGTAAAGGAAAATCTATGAGTTAATTTTTGTTTTTTCCTACACTCATATATGTGTACATACTAGTAGGGTATTAGTATTCATATATTGTGTGAATTCATACATATGTCACTTTTTTTCCATATTTTTATTTCATATGTACATATATACTGCATTGTTAGTTCACATACATTGTTAGTTCTGCATAAAAATTGCTTATCTCGTAAATTATTATGGCGATGTCACGTCTAGTTAAAAGAAAAATTATATTTTCTGCATGTGATTTTGATCTATGTGTATAAATTTTTGTACTATTGTAACCGGATTACTATCTATTTTATACACATTCGTATGTACGCGATATACGTAAATTCAATGAGCATTTGTGTATTAAAAAATGCATTTCATATACCAAATATCACATCTCATATTATGATAAAAACAACACCAATAAAATATACAAAACTATAACAGAATTTTTTTCTATTTTTTATTTCTGGATTAATAAAAATATTTATTCGTTTAGATGCATTTGTACATGTGTGTGAATGAATTTAAAAAAGTATATGAAAATTATTATAAGCAATGTGTATAACATTAGTAAAGTAATAGAAAATGAAAATATAACAGAATTAAGAGAAACTCAAGTTAAACAATAAACAGAAATAGAAAAGAAAAAAATTGCAAAAGAAATATCAAATTGAATAAATAAGAAGTGAACAGTCAGGACGAAGGATATACGCGTGAAAAACTGAATTTTCCATTTACTTTCACATTTTTTGTTTTCATGCTTTCTTTTTTTTTTGTTTTTAAGTTTATTTTCATAATAAAATTAAGGAAAATATACTGGAAAATTTGATTATTATCTGTTCATCTATTCGGCTCTTTTTGGTTTTTGTATTTTGTGTCTAGCTGGGATGTAAAACACGAAAAATTGGAGTCGGAAATTGGAGTATTTTTCTTAAATATTTAACAAATTATTTTCGTATGCTATTTGGTAGAAACAAAGATTAAAATAAGCCATTGTACTATTATTAACAAGTCCATTAAATGATATTATTACATTTTCTAATACGCATTCACCTTTTTCTAAATTGACCGTCAATCAAAGGGACCGTCACTTTTAAAACTCAATGGGAAAGGGATGGGGGGGGTGATGGGAGGATTGTGGAAGGGGGAATGGGCGGATTAGGGAAGGCGGAAGAGAAAGAGGGGGAGGAATAACTTCAGTTGAAGTAGATTTCTCACAATCTATTAAAGCAAGCAATATTCTATTTATCGTTTATATTCTGTTCTTGATAGGAGATTTTATTTTTAAATGGTATGTACAAGTTTTACAAACAATAGCATTAACGGACTGACAAATTGAGATGATTTTTTATTTTGGAAATGTGGTGATCGTATATATGTATATACAAAATTGTTACACATAGAAATGCAGATAGAAATAGAATAAGTATGTAATTTCATTTAATTAGCTATGAAAATTTTGTGATCTCTCGTGAAATTTTAACAAAAAAATCTAAGCATTTAATATAATTTTTCTAAAACTTTTAAGAAAATGTGGTGAACAATAGAACCCTTAGCATACAATAAACTAGTATTTAAATTTTGATCATTTTCTGTCCCTAATTGAAAATATATAAAATGTCAGGGTATAAGAAAATGGTTCGTTTCTGGCATTAAAATAAAAATTATTCACTCCCCGAACCGGTTTTACTTCACTATTGCAATATTTAGAGAAAATAATAATGATCTTTTTTTTTTTGTTATTAAACTTTATGGTTGAATTCCAACTTATTTTGTCCTATTATTTTTCATTATTACATTTAAAGCGAAAAAATAACGTATACATGCCATTTAATTAAATGCTATAAAATCCAACTATATAAAGAGTGAAATAAACAAAATTCTACACATATATGCATACATTCGTAATAAATACATTAATTTCATATATGTACATACAAACATACGCTTGGATTTATCCTGAATTCGCATTTCGAGAATAAAAAAAAAAACAATTTTAAATATAATCCAAAATAGGGTAATAAAATGCACAGTCAAAAAAAAAAGAAATTTTTAGAGAAATGGTGAATTTTTTTTTTGTTGTTAATTTTCTTCTCTCTCCTTTCTCTCTTCTTTTTTTTTTATCTTTTGATTGTTTCTTTGTAACCGGAAAATGCAATTTTTCAAATTCGTTAAACACCATACGTTAAAATGTGCTATGTGCATTTGAAGGATATGATACGAGTACATAAAAAAAAAAAAAATAAATAAAAAATATTCGTTTTTCCTCTCATCCTCGACCGTGCACACACACACACACACACTGTTTTCTGCGTTTTCGTATATTAATGGCGTACTGCAGAATTTGTAAAATTATCTGTACATATGTATGAATATATTTTTGTTTGTATGATAAATAAAAAAATTATATTTTCAGTTGTACACCACCAGACACTCACTCTTGTATATAGACTTGTAGATGATATTTTTTTTTTCGTACTTTAAAAATGATGAATGAAATTTACTATTTTATACGTTTATTATGTAGAGTGAATGTAAATTAACTCTAATTGTATTATAATAATCGAAATTACATACATATATTCTCTTTTATACGAAATTTAAGAATTTAACAAGGTATTTTTTGTATTAAAATGAAAATAGAAAAGATGTTGAACGGAAAATTTGATATTCTGGAAATTGGAATTTTGTAAATTGGAATTTTGTAAGTTAATAAACATTTTCTAGAAAGAATTTTTTCGTATGGTTCTTGTCTTATAAGATGTAGGTATTTTTTAATAGTAATATTTTAACTACTGATAGTAGCAAATGTGTAGCATTTAAAATTTTATTAAGTGTTCATAAAGCACTTATAAATTGGAGATCTAGGGAAATATGTTCATTATGTAAAATAAGAAATTTTAGTAGTAGAATATGCAACAAAGCTTTATCGAATTGACTATGGGATGTAAAAAATTCTCTAAGAACAAACTTAAACTATTTACAGCGCATTTTGTAATTCTTAAACAAGTTTTATTGGTATTATTGCTATTTGTGTTAAGGCTATGTTGAATAACACTTTTTTGATTTGAATTGAGACAATGATATATTTTATAAGTTCATTGTATTATGTATAGGAAAAATAATTCAAAAAACCTATTACTCAAAAGTTAGCCCAAATCAACAGATAAAGTCTGAAACAGTTTGAAATAGCCGAAATAGCCCGAATTTTTCTTTTATAAGCTTTACAATTTTTATTTGACATCTTTTTTCCGGATTTAAATTTCACAAATTTTGAAGAAGATCCCGAAATTTAATCAATGATAATTTCTTATCAAGTATAATATTAGTTCAGGAATATTGTGAGAAATTGGCCGTTCACATGAATAAAATTATTAAGAAAATTGTGATATTGAGTAATGTTGAAAATTTTTATTCATTGAAATTTTAGCAAATTGATGATGAGGTGACAACTTCTAAAGGGAAATTTAATACATGTGAAGTCAATTAAGTTCTTATAGCGCGGTAATGCTTGGGTGTAAAAAATATTTTAATGAATTTCGATATTAATTTCTCTGACTTACTACTCTCAGGTACTGAACTTACAATTCTTACTAATATTTTTAACACTTCCTTTGAAATTCAATTTAAAGTATTAATTATATAAAATCTATTTTGTTTTTATTTACAGGCTGCGAGCACATTTTCACTTTTAACGTAAAGGTAAGCAAAAAAAAAAACTAAATAAATTTTCTTAAAAATGTTAACCAACAATTAATAAAAAGAACTTTGATACTAAAATTTTTAAATTACAAATCAAAGTTAATGGAAAATTTAAAATTGTTGAATTGCGCTCTTTGAGAACACCATCATGCACTAAAAAATAATGGGAATCTACCATTATCTACCATGGATTTTTATGTCAAGGACAAAATTTTTTTTTTTTAATTGAATGCTAAAATTTTGCTAAATGAATGATAAAGTTCGTATTACGCACCCTTTTAAAAATAAAATTTTTGTGGTTCATATAACAACTAAGTTCGTGTAAATCTTTCGTTATTTCGTTTTACTCTAACACTTTTAAAAGTCTTGTATACCAAAACCTTGAGCGACTTTTACGCTCGTTTAAAAAATATACCAAACTAAATTTTGTGCTTTTCAAAAATTCAATTTACTTCAACTACATATGTGAGAACCTATAATAAATTTAGCGAAATTTTATTATTTTTTTTATTTATGGAGGATTTTTGGAATGAATTTTGCATTTGACAAGTTGTACAAAATTTATAATTTCCTGGAAATCTATTCAAAGGGTATTTTTTATTTTGATTGTGGAAACCGAATAATTGCAAACGATTTGAGAACTCAAAAGTTAAAATAAAAATTTTATGTACTTAAACTTTTTGTTGTCGTATGAGTATGATGTTGACCCAAGAAATTGCAGAAACCATTTTTATGCATATTATCTACACCAAATATAGAATGGCTATTTTGTACGATGTGAAATTTTTGCAAAATTTGATATTAAACTTTGTATTTTTCAAATTTTATTTATATTAGTATCAAACGTATTGCATATAATATGGGAGGTATTGTGATCACATCAAATTGAACATACCGCTTTTCAATATATTTAAAATCTGTCTCTGTTTGTGAAACAGAAATGAATTTCTGAATTTCAGTTTCAGTTTAGTAGATTTCAATTGAATGTCTCAGTTTAATTTAGAGGAGAATTAAATAACTTTTACGGTAACAAATGGACTTTTAGTGGGGTTCAGATTTCCATTTTTGTCATAACTTTTTGAAGTTTTATATGTATTACAATTCTGGCAGTTAACGGAATAAGCTATAAAATTTCTTCGTAAGAGCTCGGAAACCAAATATTTAATATGAACAGATTTTTGAAAATTTCTATGGAAATAATTAAAAGAATTTCTGAAAACTTAATATTTTAAATTTTGTTTTCCAACAAAAGTAATTCGAAAATGCTTCAGGGAAACCGGTTTCTAGAATAGGAACTTCAACACTTTTACGTAATCTTTTATAAGAGAGTGAATTTATTGGATTTTTAAAGTATTCTGAAAAAAAAAACACAACACGATCGGTAATGTGCCGAAAATATCATCCAATTCTTTTTACGATTTCATAAAAATTACTATCCTTTTGGAAAAGCATGAGAGCGTGTGCATACATAAAAATGGAAATATATAGAATTTGATAATCTGATTATAAGATTTTATTGTGTAGATGATTTCAAAAATATTATGCTTGAGTACAGTAGATACACTTTAAGTATAGAAAATAAGGAGGGAACAAATACATACATATAGAACTATGCGTATATATTTATCCGATTATTATTATTAAATGCAATTAGGATCAAATTTAGATAATAAGGTTGATTATTTTGAAAGGAAGTAGAAGATTATTTTGATTTCAAAATTATTTTAAATAACATTAAAAAATTTTTTTTTACAAAAATAAATTTGACATGAAATTTTCGCTCTTAATATTTTCAACATTAAAAATTTTGAAACATGTCCTTATAAATCCTTATTTAATTATGTGTGGTATTAAAATAATAATAAATATGATATGATGATTCGTATAATTATCCTTGTCAAGATCTTTGTGTTCTCATATTATAATATTCTTCTAAAACAATGCGATTATTTTTATTTTCATAAGAAATTCATATATGTATGTAGAGAATCCTTAATATGTCATCTTTAATAACTTAAAATTTTGAAGAAATTCATAAAAGTATTTTAGATTTTTTTTTGTTTCTCGTTATTAAGGAAATCATAAGTATAGTATTCGTATATAATTATAATTGTAGTGTGGCTTTTTATTAAAATACTTAAAAATGAATAAAATTTAGAGAAAAGTAAAAAAATTAATTAAAAATACAAAATAAATCTACTTAGTTATAATAAGATTACATTAAATTCGGAATAAATGTCGGAAGAGTTGAATGAAAATTAAGAAAATAAAATTTATTTTTTTTAAATTTTAAAGTAAATTCTACAAAACGAATTTCATTCAGAATATTTAGGTGTTTTTGAAAGAAAAATCTTAACATTAATTCAGCAAATGATCATAGAAATTTCTTAAAACAAAAACAACTCTGTCTAAAAACATTACCGGAGAAGAGCGGTACCGATTGCAACAAATTTCAATCAATTCCATTTCAATCAATTCCAATGATTCAATATATTAATCATATTATTTTATATCAGAAAATATTTAAGTTTTAACTGAGTTTTAACTGAGGTAGACAGATCCGGAAGAGAATTTCGAAGAAAACTCGAAAAAATTAATAGGTAATCAAAAATATATTGGTTTTCACAGGAACGGCTTGCTTTAATAATTCATTCTGAAAACATTGTTTTAGTTGAAAAACTCTGATCGAAAGTCAAGAGTGAAGAAGATAGAGAAAAATTTTGTTCTAATATAAGAAAGCTTATCGATATGTATAAAATGTTGACCCCAATTTGAGTTACCGCGTACAAGAAAATTAAATTCAAACATTAGAATTGACTTGCTTCAAAAATACCGTTCAATTTGAAGGGCGAATTCAATGTTTTTTAAGGATCAAAACAATTGTTTGCCGAATTTGAAATGTGGATCATTTGCCGAACTTGAAATTTGAAAATACCTTAAAGACTATATATTTGAACCTTTGAATTGCAATGAATTCTTTTTGCTTATCGAAGTTACAGGAATTTATAGAATAACATGAAAGATTTACAGTAATTATTAACCACAAATTGTTATTTAAGTCTACAACTGTGTAAGTTTTAATGGCAGATTTTAATATAGTGTAATCAAATTTTAAATATTCCTTAAGACAATAAAATTTTCCTCAAAGTTAACCGAATAAAAAGTGTTAATGACATTTTTTCTTTAAAATAAGTAGAACTGAGCAAAAAGAAATATAATATTTTTCTGAATGAAAAAAAAGAAACTATAATCAAAGTCAAAATAAGCAAAATAAATATAAAAAACTATAAAATAATTTACTCATGTTATAGAATGAAAGGATCAATTAAGATAAAGAGAAAAAGAAGGCAAAGTAACCAAAATACCTTAAATTTTAAAAGAGCAGACAAAAACCAAAGAGATGATAAAAATAACAATTTTCTTTCTATACCAATTTTTATAAGGATTCCCAAGAAAGAAATTTTATATAAATAAAATGAAATTTCGTAATAATTATATTGTGTATGGGTTATACAAAAAACACTCAAACACACATATTAAGTTTAAGATTTGTTCTTTTTATTATAGTATAAGAAACCAAGAAAACCAATGCTAATAAAATAAGAGAGAATGGTAATAAAATAAAAAGGGAAAAGAAGGATTATGGAATACGAAACCAAAATTATTTTCATCGTCGGATACGTACAATGAATTGTAATTATTGTTTTTTTTTTTCTTTTTTGCATTTGTGGTGTGTGATTGTATGTTGTAGAGGGTTTTTTATATACAAAATTGGTATACTTTTGAGGGAAAAGGTGAGAGTATTTCAGAATGATTTGGTTTTAGAAATCTGATGATTCATTGAGATTTAATAATGAACCTTATTTACTATTGCATGGAAATATTTTATATATTTGGTTGAATGAATTAGGTTCGCTTATTATCTTAAATAATGTGATGATCATAAACTAATTGAACTTTTCAAGTATTTAAAAAATAAAAAAAATTATTTAACCATTAATTTTTTTTAAATCATCCTTGTTTCCACATTTCACATTGGGCAGCCAGCCTTTGGATACCAAATGTTGTTCATGGATCTTAAGAATTCGGTAATATCTTCAATTAAAATATTTGTGTTTTTATCACATAAAAATTTTATTTAAAATTTAATTATGCCAATTAAAAATTTTTAAATAATATTTGAAGAATAAATTTTGACTATTAATTCAAAACCCTGGAATTCAACTTACATAGCACCCGGAACCAAATTAAGAATATTCAACGTGTCTGTTATGTCAATGCTGCATTACGGAATGGAAATAGGTTTGGTGTTCAGTTACTGGTTTTCGTAAACAAATACCTCATAATAATATGTAGAATATTCTGGCCAAGAAGATTCATGAACGAAGAACTGTGGTTGATGACAAAACAAGAGCCAATAGATACTCAAACAAGAAGAAGAAAATAGAAATGGATTGGCCACATTCTAAGGCGCCCAATAATATCAGTTGCACGTCAATCTCTTGACATGTCTTAATATAATATATGTAATATTCTTGTTGAGACTAATACTGGTTGGCCAGTACTGAAAAGATAAGTCTAAAAAACTAATTCTGATGAAAAGTCGATGTGAAAATCTTACATTCCCTAAGGGGATGAATGACAACGGAAACAATTGAAAGCAATTAATTTGTACAAATCGTTATTGTTGTATTTCATTATTTTAATTGATATTCCAAAAATTTATGCTTTAGACCATTCTTGAATTGAATCTCATATTCATTATTAACGTAACGCAAAAAATATGTGAAACAATAAACAAGTAAATTCATTGTTTTACAAATCTTTTTACATTTTGGCTAATATTCTCAGTAAAATATAAAAACAAAACGAAAAACTACAAAAAATTCACAAGTCCTTCTTACAAGTTTATTATTATTTTGCCTTTTCTTTTTTGTAATTTAACAAAATCTTAAAGGAAATAAAGATCCTGTGAATTTTTTTTTTCATTACTCTAAATA